TTTTTTTTGAAGCACGTTCTCTTCCCCACTGCACTGTTCTGAATTATTACTTCCATTGTTCCATTATTTGGCTAGGAAGTGAGCCCAACGCATAGTTTTCACGAGGTCTACCTCTTTGTGTAGGTCTCACCTTCGTACGGTAAGTGATGACGCTGTCGCACGAGCTGATGAAGAGATGGTGCAGTGGGGGTACTTCTCATCAAGCACACGCATCCCAGATCAAACCTTATTGAAATAAATATTCAGAACTGGGTTCCCAGGGGGACGGACCATTCGTGCGATTCGAGCTGCGCGCAGCCAATTGCGCGGCGAAATTCATAGCCATTATGACGACTTCAGCGCTCATTATTTGGGCCCAAATTTGAGGCAGAGTATATGCATAGGCCTATTTCAATAGATGGAACTTCAATCTACAAGTCACGTAAACAAGGCGTCGTAGAGAGATCCTGGGCAAGGAGATCGAAGGGGTGGTTGGGGTACTCAGGAGCTATACTGCATCATCACCACATGTCCGAGTCTGGAGCCAGAGTTGGATAACCAAGTTCCTGTACTGAGTGGTAGTTTCTGTCCGTGTTGTCAACGACGACCCCCATATAGCTGACCTCTACCTCTCGTGGCTTCTCGAGGGGCGGAGTGCGGGGTCAGGCTCGTGTTGGCTTCAATGTTACTTTCCGTACTTGCAATTCTGCTCAGCGTTGGGAACGGTCCACCCGTATATATTATATATATATATGTATGTATATATATATATGTATATATATATCCCTCTCTCTCTATCTTACAATAAACATATTGAACCACCGTTGTCTTTCCTGCCTGGAGAGGGTATTATCCCAGTCTTCAAGCACCCATCTTGGTTAGTCGGTAATTATTGGGTCTTCTAACTTTAATATGAGCAGCTATTGAAAATGGGTATGCAGTGATATCCTTGTTAAGGGTTACACGTACCAACCTTTAGCAACCTATTTTACACTTCTGCATTATTGGAATGTCTGAGAATAAAGTGCGACGTGTCAAGGCCAACTTTGGTTCCATTTTTGAGCAAGGCGTGGAATGTGGAATGTGGGCGTTACGGACGCGCGACGTACTTGGGAAGGCGCCGTTCATGGGCGACATATGAATTCCTGTTGGTGATGATCAGAGGCGTTCCATTTGCTCCACTTCTCTTATCTATTCTTTCTCCTTCCCTTCGGTCACTGGTATAGTGTGTGATAACCTGACCGAACGTCTGTGGACGTGCCGCACCCCCTTGCGGCAGCCGTCGGTGGCTAGATGCGTATCGAATTTCATCCTGTATTCAATGCACATATCGTTTTGGAAAGTTTACGGAATGTCGATCTCGCAACAAGAGGATACTATCAGGTCTGTGCTTTGTACATCACTTGTCATAACCTTTTATGGGCTGTTTTTCTTAGTTTTGCTTGTGGACTTCAGATTAATAACAGACATCGGTCCGCAATTCCAAAAGACCGCAGTTGCCACTATATCGAGTAAAAAAGACCATTATTGAGAGGGAATATTAGGCATCAAAAAGCCCGTGATGATGCCCAAATAAACATTCCCTGGAAAAAAAACATTACCACCAAAATCCAGGGGTTTGCCGACTTCGCAGACCCACGATGGTGCTAATCCTCAGGAGGGGAAGGAGTAGGGGTGGATCAATTGAGTGTTTTCAAATCTTGCCCTATTCCAGCTTTTTGCACTTGGTCCATCTTACCCCATCCCAGTTCCTCCCGCACTCCTCTCCCCCGAAGGCTTAGGTAAAAACTAACTGCATTCCGCTAACATAAGAACCGTCCGTGGTACAAGTAACGTCAGATACCCCCCCCCC